TAGGTTTCACATTTAAGTCTTTGATCCATCTGGAGTTCGTTTTTGAGCAATTTAACTTTTATATAATAATTTTTATCAACTCCATAGCAGAGTCCAGAGTCACATACCACTTTTAGTTGTTGACATTATTTTTAGTGGCTAGCATCCCCCTTCTGGATCTATTTAATTTGTCTTCTGATTCTCATTTAGGTTGTTTGTGTAATTTTTCTTAAGTTTTTATCACTGAACATCATATAACCATTTTCTTAGTCAGTATAAGAATTTCATAAGACCCATCGTTCATAAGATATAGAAAATACTCCATAAGGGATTATGCTGTAGATTTTTTTTTTTATTGTAATTTGGGTGAAGATTTACAGAGCAAATTCACTTTCGATACAGCAGCTCACATATACTTTGTCTATACATTGACCATAGTTTACCACAATGCAACAGCTCCCCTCCCACTCCCTCCCCATAGTTACCTCTTCCCAGTGTCCATCCCTCCATACACTCCTGCCCCCTGAGCTATCTCCCTAGTGCATAAGCAGCTCTTCTTTCTCCCATGATTGTTCTCTCCAAGGAGTGTATCTACTTGAGGTAAATGTTCAACTCATATGCCTGTCTTTTGTTTGGCTGGAAACCACAGGTGTGGGTTCAATTCCAGACCTGAAGGGCAGCTAGGGGCCATAGTCTCAGTGTTTCCACCAGGCTCTATCAGACCAGCAAACCTGGTTGCCCCTCTTTTTTTTTCTCCAAATGATTTTAGTTTTGTTCCACATTATTTTCCCTCTCTATCCAGAATCTCCTACATAGATCCCCTTCCAAGTGGATGACAGTGGTAGCCGGGCACCATCTAGTTCTTCTGGTCTCATAGTTGTATAGGCTGCAGATTGGATGGTGTACCAGTTGCTAGGACTAATTGTTTCCATGAATTTTGGTTTTCTTTATTCGTCTTTGCTCTGGACAAGGAGAGACCCATTGTTGCATCTAGATGCATCTAATAGCTATAGCTTGATTTTTTTTAAGAGATAAAAAAGTGTAATAACTTCTTTTGTGCATAAATATTTTCCACGTTTTATCATTATTACCTTAAAATATATTTGCAGACATGGAAATAGTGGATTTAAAGACAGGTCCGTTTTCTCTTTTTTCTTCCCAATAAGAAAGTTGGCCCTAAAATGCTGGATCATGAAGGGAAAGAAGTCCCAGGAAATCGAGGTTACAAATACTTTGGAGCAGCAAAAGATTTGCCTGGTGTTAGAGAGCTGTTTGAAAAAGAACGTAAGTAACTCACGTGTATGAAGGTTTTAAGTTGGTAATAATTATAAGAGCAGGTATGCTATATGTTAGTTTTTTTATATTACTTCTTAGCTGCATAACAGCCCTGTAGCATAGGAATTTTTGTTCCATTTTGAAATGAGAAACGTTAATCGAGGCCACATAATTGGGACTGGAAAGTGAGCACAGAATTGGCTAGTGCCAAATTCCGTGTTCTTTGCATAAGCCAGTCTGTCAGTCTGAATAAGGAGTTTCTCTGTTTGAAGTTCCCAAACTATTGGGATAAACTCAGATTTCTTAAATCAGGTTCATGTTTCAGTTACTCATTAGTTATAAAGCTATACATGAAGAACAAATAAAATCTCGGGCAGAACCCTAGTATGTGACCATGGATCACAGTGGAGCTGTCCTCTGTGAATAAAGTGGGAAGCCCTTGCCTGTCCTTCCCCTTCCCCTCCGTTCTCCTCTGCCTTTCACAGTGGCCCTTGGGAAGCTTCAGCCAAACTTAGGGCTTTCAAAAGTGTAACTTGAAACCACTGGTCTAGAGTCTTAGAGCATTTGAGTTTTGATTTTTAGAAAAGTAGTCTAAATGCTTTATTAAAAAAGTATGAAAAGCAGAGAAGCATGACACCAGTATTCTTGGCACTGTTGACATTTGCTCTGTTTCCTTCGAGTTGGTTTTCCTGTTTTTTTCAAAATGAAGTTTTATTAAATCCTTTTTTAAAAAAAATTATGCCAAAACTGTTTTTGCATGCTTCATTACCATAATTTAAAAATCATTCAAAGTTTAAATATTATGCTGTTAATTCTGAAAGCAGTATTTCAGTTACAAAATACAGAAAATCAGAAAAATATTACATTTGAACAGCTTGTAGATGATAATTGTTAGCATCAGCATGTTGACACCTGGTGTATTTCCCTCCAGTTTTCAAAGGATTGTGGTGGGGGAGAGCTCCTAAATTGAGATTTAAACTATTTAGGTTTTTAATTAAATTTTTCTAAATTCTTTTTTTATTTCCTTTAGTCATAGATATATATATGTGTGTGTATGTGAGTGTATGTATTTTAACAAAAAAGTGCATAAATCACTGTTACTGAGTATAATTCAGATAGTACAGAGCCAAAGTCCCCTTTCCAGTGCCCTTGCTAGAGATAATCATCATTATCTGTTTGGTATGTACCCTTGTAGGCCTTTTTCCATGTACTTACATGTTTATTTCATCAGTTAAATTTCATCATCATAAATTGGTGTGCACAGAAAAGCAAATTTATTGGTTCACAATAATGGAAAAGCTGATGAGTAGTTTGACTTCAGGAGTGGCTGAATCCAGGTCATATTTTCTCTGTATTGCAATTTTAACTTTCACTGTGTGAGCTTTTTTCTGTGCTAGTTCTCCACCTACGGTGGCAAGTTGTTCATTGTCTTGTTTTCTTTCAGCAGTGTATTTTTTTCCCCCAAGCAGGTCTTATCCTAGCATTGAGTCTTTTTTTTTTTTTTATTTGTGATTTGGGTGAAGATTTACAGAGCAAATTCACTTTCCATACAGCAGTTCATATACACTTTGTCTCATGTCATTGGCCA